GTAAATAGATGACTTTTTTAATGTTATAATGGACCCAAATCATATCAGGAATTCAGAATGATATTGACAGGTATACTGGAGCTATGGATACTTTATTACTTTCCGTTGGTTACTGATTTATTGTCGCCTTTAATAATACAATCTTGCTCTACTGCTGTAGAGCACCCGCCAATTTTTGCCCTTGTTTCACACACGTTATCAGACATCTAGTTCTAGCAAGTATGGAGTAGATACTGTGTAACGTTCAACTTCATGTTAAATCTTTATTTCTGGTTTGCATACAGGGATGTCTGTTGGAATAGGTAATAGCTAGTTGAAAATTTTTGGTTGACAAATGTTTTATTGAAGTTGCATTTGAGGTATTTTCAAGATTTTAAACATTGGAAACCGATATCAAGTTGATACTATTATAGGACATGTTGGTGCCTGGCATGGGCTTAAGTTTACACCCATCAGAGTAATGCAGGCAAATGAAGCTTATGGAAAAAAATGCTGGGATAGGAACTTATTTCTTTCAGCAAGTAGATAAATGTGTGAGCTGAGAATAATCGAGGTGCATTATGGAGGATAATTCCTCATGGTCTTTTAAGTATAGCACGGTACTAACACGTCTGCAAAGTAATAGAATGACTTCCTAGTAAATTTGTCATGATTAAAAGAGCTGCGAACTATGTCTCTTAAGAGTTCTCTGAGAGTCGTGTCCGGTCATATCCGACATGGGCTTTGTGCTATATGTGTGCAACTAGTGATGTAAATAAGAACTGAGTAGTGATGTAGAATCTTTGCTAGATGATGTGTTAGAAGGGTTACTGATGTGAGAGCGGAAATATCTTGTAAATATTCAAGCACATTTTGTGCTACATATATAATACTTACCCTTTCTCAAAACAACTAGGCAACCCCTTAGAAACTGGACTCTTAGAAGTGCGGCTCTTTGCCTAAGCACCTGCAAGGATAGCAAAACAAAATTGATACTTATTCGTCGAGAGTCAAATTTAAACTTCGTAGAATATGAAATCATGGTCATCTTGGTTCCTGTTAGAAAGAAAAACACCTCCACTTGGGTTGTTGATTCATATTATGCTCTTATTTCAAAGCAGAAGATTTCTTGTGCTTGAATTTGTAATTTTCGATCCTCATAAGGTGAACTTATGCAGATTGCCGAATTTGCGTTTGGAATGCTATTGATGGTAGCTTGGTGCACTCCTTGACTGGTCACACACAGTCTGTAAGTTATTTTTGACTATGATTAGGCTGATATTTCTGAATTCTGCTTAGGTTTTTATTACATTTTCCTGTGTCATCTTGGGTATACATTTTTGAGAAACTTTCACTTTAGCTCCATGTAGCAGCATGTGTTCACTGGTTACTTTTTTCTCAGCTTGCGTCCACCATTTTCTAATTTCTTGGTTGGGTAGTGTAGAAGAGTCATGCAATTCTTAATGGCGGTTTATTTCACTTTCTTGGTTGTAATAAACTTTAAATAATTATGTTGTTCGCCCAACTCTGGAACGAATTCCTGATACCGTTCCTCAACCCCAACGCCCCACCCACACCCATTATAAAAGCTCTATCTGGTGTAATTAATGCTAACTGTTTGCCTCTTGTAGACTTATGTTCTGGATGTTCATCCTTTCAACCCCAGAATCGCAATGAGTGCTGGTTATGATGGGAAAACCATCCTGTGGGATGTAGGTTTCTGGTTCTTGTGTTTGATTGTATTACATCCTTTTACACAAGTAGCTCATTTGTTGAACTCTTGCTATATCTATTTCCAGATATGGGAGGGGATCCCCATCCGCACATATGATATAGGACGCTTTAAGTTGGTTGATGGAAAGTTTTCACAGTAAGTATTTTAAAGAGGAGCTCGTAATTTTTCCTACATCTCTGATATTTGACTTGTAAAGTTTCTTTGCCTATATATATGGTGATTCCTTCATGTGCTACTAATTTTAGACATCATGAGAGCTTTCTGCTTTTGGGCCATAAAAGAACGCCAATCCTATCCTGACTTCAGAATTAATAACTTATTCAGTTCCATTTCAGATTAGATTTGCTAACTTGTGCAAATGCTCTTTGCTTTATTTGAAATGCAAAGTTACTGATTGTGTGGAGATCTGCTGTTTCTTTGTGAAAAGGGATGGAACATCAATTGTTCTTTCTGATGATGTTGGACAAATATATTTATTAAATACAGGCCAAGGCGAGTCTCAAAAGGACGCTAAATATGATCAGGTATATGAGGCGTTCTTTTTCATTCTCATCATAGTTTTAAGCATTTAACAGTTACTGTATGTTATCGTGAGGCTGTAACTTTTCAACAGTTCTTCCTTGGGGATTACCGACCCCTCATCCAGGATGCGCAGGGGAACGTTCTTGATCAGGTACCTTTAGTTTTGACATACTAGTTCACTCCTTCGATTCCTGAATTATGACCTATTTTTCTTTTTTGTCCTTTGACAAATTTCTTTCCTTAATGTTATTCTTTTCTCCACCCATCCCATTAGAACTAATATTACTTGACATTACTTAGAACTTAGCGGGCGTTTGGACATAAGAATTGTAAAATTTCAAAAAAAAAGTGACAAAGTTTTTCAAGTGAAAATGGTATTTGAAAATTAGAGTTGTGTTTGGACATGAATATAATTTTGGGTTGGTTTTGAAGTTTTGTGAGTGATCTAAGTGAAAATTTTGAAAAACAACTTTTTGGAGTTTTTCAAATTTTCGAAAAATTTCAAAATTCATCCTCAAGTGAAAATTAAAAATTTTATGGCCAAACATTGATTTCGGAAAAAGTGAATTTTTTTCGAAAAAAGTGAAAAAATTCTTATGGCCAAACGGGTTCTTAGTATGAAATCTTTTTAAATGACTAATCCAAGTTTGGACATTGGAAACTATTATTTTATACACTCTGTATTTAAATCCATTTAATTATCTTTCCAAACAATTTACAATTAATCTCTGTAGTCAATGTGGGCCATGTTTATAGTGACGAAGTGAGTAAAAGGTTTATAGTTTTACCATTTTTAAGTTCTGCCGTTTGATTTTACTACTTAATAGTTTTGGTGTAACTTTTTATATATATATATATATATATATATATATAATTTGTCAGCTGAACCCTATATTACTTGACATTACTTAAAACTTGGTATGAAATCTTTTTAAATGACTAATCCAAGTTTGGACATTGGAAACTACAGTATTATTTTATACACTCTGTATTTAATCCATTTAATTATCTTTCCAAACAATTTAGAATTAATCTCTGTAGTCAATGTGGGTCATGTTTATAGTGACGAATTGATTAAAAGGTTTGTTGTTTTACCATATTTAAGTTCTGCCATTTGATTTTACTACTTGGAGTTTTGGTGTAACTTATCTGAGTAATACATGCAATGATCTAATCTGTCAGCTGAACCCTACAGCTGTTGCATCTTGTATAAGTTTGCTAAGTTTCCTGAAGTATTAACAGCAGGCATTTGTTCACCTGTTGCAGGAGACACAGCTAGCTCCGTATCGGAGGAACATGCAAGATCTTCTTTGTGACGCAAGTAGATATTAATTGCTTTCATCATTCGATCTCATTTTTGTTAGTTTCAAGATGATGGTAATGAATGCCTTTTTGTTTTGTTTTTCCAAACATGAAATAATTGGAATACTAGGTATGCTTCCATATCCTGAACCATACCAGAGTATGTACCAGCGACGCCGCTTGGGAGCTCTGGGTACTGAGTGGCGTCCTCCTTCAGTTAAATTTTCTGTAGGCACAGACGCTAATTTGAGCCTAGGGTACCATGTTTTGCCCGTGGCTGACTTGGACATAATAGCTGAACCTCTGCCAGAGTTTATCGATACCCTTTTCTGGGAGCCAGATAATGATATTCTAAATGATGAGACTGATTCAGAATACAATATGAATGAAGAGGTTTCTACTGAAGGAGAACATGAATGTGTAAGAGACAGCTCTTCTAGCGCTTCAGTGTGTAGTGAAGAAGAGAAGATGAGACGGAGTCATAAAGATAGCCTGCGCAGATCAAAAAGGAAAAAATCTGTATCAGAAGTAAGCGCTGACTTTCACAAACACAAACAGAATACCTATTTATTTACCCTGGCTGAGCAACATTTGCATCTTTTTTCAGGTGGAAGTCACATCATCTGGAAGACGTCTTAGGAAGAAAGTTAAGGATGACGATGTTGGCACTTCATCTAGAAGTCTTAGAACTAGGAAATCAAAAAATGGGCGAAAAGCTACCACTAAAAGGAAGTCAACTAAACTAAAGTCATTAAGACCTCAGCGAGGAGCTGCACATCCTGCTATTGTCCGTTATCATTCTGACAGCTCTTCAGATGAAGAAGATGAAGGTAGCTCTGAGGATGATTCATTGGAAACTGAGTCACCAGAATGTTGGTCAAGTGATCAGAGCATTGAATCTGATGACAAGCTGCCGAGCAAACAACAGAACTATTCAACAGGTGGATCTGTGGATGTACCTCCTAAATCTGCTGAACCTCAAACAAACGGTGAGAACAAAAGGAGATTAGTCCTGAAATTGAAAATTCGTGATGCTAAGAAGCTTGAGTTATCAAAAGACACTGCAACTCAGTGTGGTGACCAAGCTGATAAGTCACGTTCTTCTCAAGCTAGTGAAGAGATAATTGAAGATAATCTGGTTAACCTTAGATTAAAGGAGCCAGGATCATACTCTGCAGATGAAATTGGCATGGAACTGTCTGAGAAATACAATAAAACTGGTATTATGGTTAATGACAAGGAACACAAAGGTGTTCTGGGTGAGCATGCCAATTTTTCTGCCAGTGTAGATATCCAAAGTCTGGCCGATAATTTAATAACTGAGGCTCAAACAAATCGGGGACAGCTTGAAGCTAGCAGATCGACTGCTGGAAATGGTCCACGAGATGCAGCATGTTCCTCAGGAGGTGGTAAAAGTTCATTATTTCAGTTGTCATCGTCACCTAGTCATCAGCCACAGCAAATAGGCATCGGTCCAGGATCAAACAAGCTGACTACCACCAACGACAATCCTGAAGTAAACCCAAAACCTAGAGTGAAGACAACCATAATAAAGATAAAAGCAAAGAAAGTTTCCAGGGATTCTCAAGCTCATTGTGAATTTAATCGTCCTACAGATGCTTATTGTGGAGATGAATCAACATCTAAAATCTTTTCCCATTTGGAACAAAACCAAGTTCCGGAAGTGCCAGAAACAGACAATGGCCCTGATAGATTCGGTCAGAAATTGCATTGGGGTGTACTGACGGACGATACTGTTGACAGAAGCAAGTCTCATGGATCTAGAAGGCGCTTACTTCGCAGTCATGATATTAGTGGAAGTACTTCCGATGCTTGTATTGATCATGACGAATCAGGTTCTGAATTCCCTCATGCCGCTACTGATGCAGCACGTAGAAAGAGATCCTTAAGATTTACTGCAATGTCAAGAGATACAGCATTCAGGAAAGATGACGTAAAGATAAGAGAGAACCATGTAGCTGTAGGTTCATCAAGAAATGCAGAAAAGCTGACCAAGAGGGCTACGGGTTTTCTGCCATTAGGAAGGACTTCAGCTAATGTGTCCAACCGGTCATCTACAGACAATAAAGAGCATTCTTCCAGGGCGGAAAATGTTTTCTCAGCTGGAATGATCTTGAATAAGGAAGTAAAAAAAATGAATTGGCTGCTATTGTCAGAGCATGAAGAGGGTTACCGCTACATTCCTCAGATAGGCGATGAAGTAGTATACTTCCGACAGGTGCATTACATAATTTCTATTGGTTAATCGTAGCCCCTTCTTTCCTGTTTTTCCCATTTTGGTTTTTTTATGATAATGTCACTTGGTATTCCTTGAATTCAGGGGCATCAAGAATATATAGAATATAGCGATTCATTGGAGCCTGGTCCTTGGACAAAGAATGCAGCTGTATTCCGAGCTGTGGAATTTTGTTTGGTTGAGAATCTTAATTACGCAACTCTTCCTGGCTCTGGTGAGAGTTGCTGTAAAGTTACACTTCAGTTCATAGATAGCACTTCCCCCGTCTTTGGACAGAAGTTTAAGCTAAAACTGTCTGAACTAGTTAACTTCCCTGACTTCATTATTGAGAGATCTCGGTATGAGACTGCAATGGAGAGAAATTGGTCATACAGAGACAAATGTCTTGTTTGGTGGAGGGATGAGAGTGATCAAGGTGGTAGGTGGTGGGAAGGTCGGGTAGTTTCTGTGAAAGCCAAATCTGACCAGTTTCCTGACAGTCCATGGGAAAGATGCGGTATCCTATACAAAGACGAATCAGAACCCCATCCTCATAGTCCTTGGGAACTACATGATATAGATAGTTCATGGGAGCAACCTCATATTGACTTGGAAAGCAAAAACAGAGTTTTGTCTTCTATCACCGAGCTACTGCATTCAGCAAGCAGAAATCAGGTTTTAATCTTTTCAATTGTCTATGCCTTGAAGTAATAACTGAACTTTGTAGTTCATAGCATCAGAGCTGACCCTGTTGTGTGCATGTTACAGGATTTCTTTGGGATTCTAAAATTGAAACAAGTTGCTGGAAAACTGGATTTTGTGAATAGGTACTCTTTTTANGGGGGGGTGAGTTTTGCTATAATTGTTTTTTCAATCTTTGGACATATGTTTGTTGCACGGTTGCTTGGCATACACAATTAATGGACCCAATGCGATAAATGATTTCCTCTTTGCAGGTTCCCTGTTCCTCTATCACCTGATATAATCCAGTTAAGGTTAGAGAACAACTATTATAGAAGCTTGGAAGCAATGAAGCATGATTTCTCTGTGATGCTAGCAAATGGTGAGGCTTACTTTGCCAAAAATAGAGAGCTTTCAGTGAAAATGAAGCGTCTTTCAGATTGGTTTAGTGAGACATTGTCAGATTTGTGAGGTCATGCTTTCCCGTAGCTTGTTATTTTTCCTCCCTTCATCCAACTGCCCGGAGATCCAATTTTGTGGATAGGATCTTCTGTACCTACACTCGAGAAATGTTGGCCTAGAGTGTTCTGTTGTATGATTAAGGTTTTAACGGAGTTGCTTTAACATGATAGTATATGGTGGGTTTGGAGTACAATTTTCACAAGTACAATATGGACATTCTTTAATTTGCTACCTGACCAGAGCTTGATGTAGTTATGTTTCTTCTTGAGAATGTCACAGTAACCAAACTTTCTTACGTTTAGATATAGTCTGTTGTTGTTCCGATTCGAATGTACGAACTTCATATGGGAAATTGAATGTAAGTAGTCAACTTTCTTCTATATATAAGCAACTAGTCCGTTCAGCAAATTGTCTATAAAATAGATATGCTTTAATGGTTTAACTTTTAAGGCAATGTTGTTATTTTATCCGAGTAAAACCCTATATCATATTATTAAAGTCTAAGATCACTTGCGAAAACACTTGTAAAATTTAAGTTACCCACTTCGATCCATGTATTATGAATTTTCCTATCATGTTACTGGCTATTCATAAAATTAATTACTTGGTCAACGTTTGTTGATATTGGAAGTAAACAAGTTCTACAAATTCAAGGTTCTCAGCTCGTGAAACTTGGAGTCTACCATTCTTTCTCATCAATATCAACTAACTATATAAAAGGGTAGATATTAAACAACTCAATTTCCAACTCTTCTATTAGTAATCTTAGCATGCCAAAAGTGGACATTCAAATTGAGACAGGGAATAGGCCCTATCAACCAAACTGCCAATCCTTTCTTTTCGTCCATCTTCATTCAGTCCGTAACATTAGCAAATCAAAGTAGGAGATTTTAAGTAGAGTTAACAAAAGAAGCACTTTTCACTTTAATAAACAAAAAAGAAACCTTTCCGCTTTCAGCTTTTCATTTACCAGCCAAGAAATAATAGTGATTACAATGATTATGATACGGAGCTAATGAAACACATTGAAGATTGTGATTTAGCATTCAATAAAGTGGGGGGAAAATCACAAGATAGTTTAAATATTATTAGAGACAAAAACTTTAAAGGATATTGATTCATATGCTAGTTATATTGTTTTTGCAGAGATTAATAATGAAGAGATTGTTAAGAAGTGATTGAGATGAGTTACACATGAATTATTTACTTTTTTTTTTTGTCTTTGAATATCTTTATCGCATATACTAAAATAATTTATAAATTCTCGCTTAACTTAGTACAAGTATTATCTAATACTGCTAACCAACCATTGCATTAGTTATGCAACTATTACTCCTTCCATTCAAGTTTACTTGTCCACTATTGACTTGGCACATCTCATGAGAAATAATAAATAACATGATAATTTACTATATGACTCTTATTTATTATATGTTTGGAAAATATATTGAAAATAAGTAGTAGGAGTATTCAATAAGAAGGGTAAAATAGGTATAATATGGTAAATTACCTATTGATTTTTCAATATGGACAAGTAAAAATGATTTTCTATTTTAATACGGTGAATAAGTAAACTTGGACGGAAGGAGTATTTTTTAGTATGAGTCGTATGTTATGCGGGAATTTATGCTGTAATTAACGCTTCCAAATCATTACCAAACAACTCCTAATATGTGACTTTTTCACAGACTGTTGCTATAGTGACATTGCAGGTGGGGGAGCAGAATCAGAAAAATAAATAAAATAAAATAAAAATATGCAGCGGAATATAGAGTTGCACTCGCTAGTGAATCAGTAGGAAGAAGGGCTTAGTGGAGGCTTCCCGCCACTCAACGTTCACTCTTCCCGCCATTTGCCAGGACCACTATATATACCGTCTCCGCTTCCACAGAGTTTATTCTTCTCATTCATTCCCACATATACTCTATTTGCCACTGGCCACCATTCTCTTCTCCATTTACAGTCGCCATAAATGGCTTCTTCTCGCCGCTCCAGCAATGGCAGATCTCCGCTAGTCAATCAACAGAGCCAAATCACTTCTTTCTTCTCTAAAGCGACTTCTCCTTCCCCATCACCTCTTGTCCCTAAAAAAGTTCCAATCAAATCTAACCCTAACCCTAATACAAAACCTAAACTTAAATCTAGTCCTAGTACCAGTCCTTGTGCCAGTCCTACGACACCTTTGCCTCTACAGGTGAAACGGAAGATAACTGCACCTATTTCTGCCATCGTTGACCTTAAGCCATCGTACGGGCAAGAGATAGTGGGCAAAAGAGTTAAGGTTTACTGGCCATTGGATAAAACTTGGTACGAAGGCTGTGTAAAGTCTTTCGACAGTGCTTCTGGCGAGCATTTGGTTAAGTATGATGATGACGATGAGGAAATGATCGATTTAGCTGAAGAAAAGATCGAATGGGTAGTCGAGGCACCCACGAAAAAGTTGAGACGGTTGCGGAAGTCTTTGGTGGTGGAAGAAGCTGAGGAGGAGGAAGAGAAATTGGAGGATTTGGAGAGCGTTGAGGATGATTCTGAGGATGAAGATTGGGGAAAAAATGCGGATAAACAAGTGTCTGAAGACGAGGATGTTGATGAGGATATGGACTTGGAGGTTGAGGAAGATGCTGCTGCTGGATCGAGAAGCAGGAAAGCGAGTGCGGATAAGGTGGTGGTGTCGAGGAAGCGGAAGAGTGGTGAAGGGGTGAAGTTAAGTTCGAGTTCGAGCAAGAAGAGTAAGACTGTTGCAGATAAGAGGAGTGCTAATAGCAAGGTGGACAATGCAGTGAATGGAGTAAATGGGAAAGAGCTTGTTAAAACCAATGAGGATTGTAAGTGATTGAACCTGCATTTTTTGTGTTCCTCTTGAGTTCTGTTTATTTGTTGAATGCTTCAGAATATTTGGCGGTTGTGACATTGTTCTATGATAATCACTATCATAAAAGTATTCGCTCTTTGAATTTGTATTTGACGGTTGACCTGTTATGAGTATATATCTTATCCATAACATGAGCATATTAAACCATGAATATATTTGTCCCCGAGTATGTATGACTTATTGTGACTCTTTGAATTTGTATTGAGGAAAAAGAACTGTTTGCTGATCTTACTAAAGATGGCCGTTTCTGCAAGGGAAATGTAAAATGGTTGGAGCAAGGACCTGACAGGAAAGATCGGAAATGAAGGAAAGATTTCTACTTGTAGAAAAAAAAGAAGGAAAAATCTGGACTACATTTTGATGGTTGGATCCAAACTGAAAATGTAGACTTGTAGTAAGCTATCCGAGGTTGCCTAATTCGGCAATAGCATTAGATTTGCAGTTGTTACTGTGTTAATTTAAAATTTATTCCCTCGGTGGTAAGGTTGGCAAGAAAAAAATTAAGGCTTAAATGTAATATGGAATGAAATTGAGCTGGCTCTGTTGCCTTGCAGGTGTCAGGCCAATCAACAATGATAATGTACTGCTGTGTGGTGCAGTAGATAGATTTGGACAACGTGAAGCAGAGAAATTTCCTTTCCTTGGGAAGTAAGTTATTCTTGCAATATTTGCTGCAGTTCACTATTTATTTTGTTTTATTTGATCTATGTGGAGATTGGTGATGTTTTACCATTTGCTTGTTGTGGCCTGTTTTCTGAATTTTCCTTGTGTGCCGAAACAGAAATAGGAAGGACGCTAATAGGAGATCCCCTGGAGATGCCAATTATGATCCAAAGACTCTTTACCTACCTCCTAATTTTTTGAAAGGTTTAACTGGTGGTCAGGTAATTGGATTCTCCTGGGTTGATATCTTTGGAGTTCTCTTCCCTATTAGAATGAGTACTTAAATGGTGTAAATGATGCTCAGAGACAATGGTGGGAGTTCAAGTCGAATCACATGGATAAAGTTCTGTTTTTTAAGGTAATGATGGTGGCATCATATTGATGGCTCAATCTATTTGCCAATGAAGTTGCTGTGCAGCTTTCTCATTTCATCTTCTTCAGTTTGCCCTTTATGTGATGATTTTTAATTATCCTGTGATTTGTGAATCAGATGGGAAAGTTCTATGAGCTTTATGAGATGGATGCACATATTGGAACCAAGGAACTTCATTTGCAGTACATGAAGGTAACTTGAGTCTATGCCCCAGAAATAGAAATATGAAAGAAAAGAAAAGATTAAAAAACAATTTGGTCGTCAGCATGTGTAGATATGCCTAAAAGAGAAAAAAATGGTCTCAACATCACCTTTTACTTTTCTCTGTTCAGAAAGTGCGTGTTTTATACTCTTTATCACTTTGTGATTAAATTGCATGTTTCTGTTTTAAGGTAGTACCTTATTTTCCTTTGCAATAGGATGGTTCGGTTTCATTCTTCAGTTCCTGAGCATCTGAGCTGACTGTTGCCTTGTATCTCCAGGGAGAACAACCCCATTGTGGATTTCCAGAAAAGAACTTCTCAATGAATGTAGAGAAGTTGGCGCGAAAGGTCGTAATTGCTAATTGCACAATGTTCAGCGTTTGCTTTATGGTTCAAATGTTAGCTGGACTGCCTGGTCTTTCATGGCAGGGTTCTTATTCTTAATTGCTTTGATGGGGCAGGGTTATAGGGTTCTTGTGGTTGAGCAAACAGAGACACCTGAACAGCTTGAGACTCGTCGAAGAGAGAAGGGATCTAAAGATAAGGTCATCATTATGCTACATAAGGGCAGTCACAGTGATGACAATTTTACTTCCTTCAGTTCTTTCTGCAGCTAACACATCATAATATATCCCAGGTTGTCAGACGTGAAATATGTGCAGTGGTCACTAAAGGAACATTAACTGAGGGAGAAATGCTCGCGGCAAACCCTGATGCTTCATATATGATGGCAGTGACTGAAAGCTCTCAAACCGCTGTATTGCAAGGGAAGCGTACTTATGGTGTCTGTATGGTGGATATCACCACAAGCAAGGTTATTATTGGACAGGTACTGGGAAATAGCTTATGAATTTCTGTAGTTTTCTTGGTAAAAAATTTTGTGCCATCTTTTCCTAGTCATGTGTAGTGTGTTTGCTGTCAATCGGTCTGATTCTACAAGGTTGCTCTCTGTGGGTGATAGTTTTTCACAAATGCTCTCTCAGAATGCAATTTGATTAGCTTAATGTGAATGTTCACATACCTGAATTAGTTTTCATCAGCCTTCCCATATAGTGATGTGTTCTTCACAGACTAAGGGCATATAACTGGCTAATCAATCATATCGATAGGTTGCAAAATTCAATTGTCAACGATTGTTAATTATAAGCTCAAACCATGTCTCTTGAATAATTGAAAGTAAGAGCACAAAGAAAATTTCATGACGTATTTATTAAATCTGCAAAAATTGAGCAATTTCTTCTCATATTCAGCTCAACAACAACAACAACAACCCACTATAATCCCACTAGTGGGGTCTGCGGAGGGTAGGTGTACGCAGACCTTACCCCTACCCTGGGTTAGAGAGGCTGTTTCCGATAGACCCTCGGCACAACAGTATCTAATACATCTTCAGAAACATGAAATGCTACTAAACAGGAGCTTCTTTTACATCTTTAGGTCTAAGTTCCACTAGTGATGATGTTGATATTCCAACCAATTTGGCACCTTTCGATATCTGGTTTCTGCATTAATTGACCTCACTCTTTCATCTTGTACATTAACACGCATATCCATCTGTTTTGATTTTTGGTTCTGCCATCCTTATAACCTCATTACGACCACACATTCATTTAGGTTTCTAGCATCACCTTCTTCTTATTTTCTTTATCAGTGATCTCTTCTAAGCTATTTTTACCCAAGTCTTCAACATGTTTTCTGGATAAAAAAATAATGATCTTTTACTAAAAGAATTTGTTATGTTGACAACTCATTAATTTAATGTGATTCTCTGTTTGTTTGGAAACAACTTGTTTTGTTTGGTTATGAAAGTAAGTGCAAGAACATTCAAGTGTAGCATGCACGAGATGATTAGCTGTGCCATAAGCCTGTTCTATCTGCTTGTCTACTGTCTGGAATCAATCTTGTCTTGGGATTCTGTTGCCAGTAGACTGAATGACACTTGGTATAGCAGAGCTTCTAAATTTGTATTTATTTAAAAATTCTTAATTTCTGAAGGAACCTTGTCATCATCTCTGTGCTGTATTCCATCTCTATATTGGCTTATCTTCATTTTGTACTGAAATGAAAAGTTAGTAATTTGATGTATTTCTTTGCCAGTTTGAGGATGATTCAGATTGTAGTGCCTTGTGTTGTCTGCTTTCTGAGTTAAGACCGGTGGAAATAATAAAGCCAGCTAAATTGCTTAGTCTTGAGACTGAGAGAGTACTGCTGCGGCATACACGAAATCCTCTGGTAAATGAGTTGGTTCCTGTCTCTGAATTTTGGGATGCTGAGAGAACCATTTGTGAGGTGAAGGCAATCTATAGGAACATGAGCAGTCCACAGCTGTCATCATCTCCAAATGAAATGGAATCACATGAAAGCACTACCTCAGAGGAATATGGTGAAAGGAACCTTCTACCAGATGTTTTATGTGAGCTTGTAAATCTTGGTGGGAATGGGAGTTATGCACTCTCAGCACTTGGAGGAGCTCTATACTACTTGAAGCAAGCTTTTCTGGACGAATCCCTGCTCAAATTTGCAACATTTGAACCGCTTCCCCTTTCTGGTTTTTGTGACAGTACTCAAAAACCTAATATGGTTCTTGATGCAGCTGCGCTTGAGAATCTTGAGATATTTGAGAACAGTCGAAATGGAGATTCTTCAGGGTATATCTAGCTTACTTTCATTTAGTTGATTATATTGTCGTCAAACTTAGAGGTGATTCGTTCGTTAATATAGGACATTATACGCTCAAATCAACCATTGTATCACAGCATTTGGGAAAAGGATGCTCAGGTCATGGCTTGCAAGACCCTTATATCATCCAGAGTCCATAAGAGAACGTCAGGATGCTGTAGCCGGATTAAAGGTACATTCAGGGTCCTAAGGTTCTGTGTTTGTACTGTCTCTTTTTAGAAAGGTAACAATTTTATATAATTGTTTAGCAAAAGGCTGTGGTAGGAGTCATCTTTACAACTTTCAAAAAGCAAAAGACCCAAGTTCTGTGTTTGTACTAGTGATGGTGAACTTTTGCACTCTTTGGTTATGGTCCTTTGCTTGTGGCATTTTGTTATCTCTTTTTGGCTGGGTAGGGTGAAAATTATTAATCCATCTATCAAGTAAAGTACTGTCTAAAGGTTGGATATATCGAATGAAGAAGGCATCACAAGAATTGGACTGACCAGGTTGAAAGCATTCATTGTTCGACGATTTCACAGGTGATTATGTTCACTCGTTTGCTGACAGCATGATTGCATCTATCCTGTTACTTGTGATTGCTGATGGAAGGTTTTTGGAGCCTTCATTTGCAGTAAGCAATTGCTTGGTGCTGGACCCTTCCGTCCATCTTCACAAAGTGAAACTGATACATTAGATCTACTCAAATACAGACTGAATGATATTATAAAGAATTGGTTTATTGGATTTATTGTGGCTTTAGCAGAATCTTGTTGCTGAATGTTTTTGTTCTGGACCATATTTATAATTATACCTGAATTTGCTTGTCCTTTTGCCTTTTCAACTTTCTTGTTCCTTTTTTATTTTGCCCTTGCATATATTGTGGTAGCTTCTTAATGAGCTGCTATGACAAATGAGATGCTATAATGTGCTCAATGCTTTTCTAGGGGCTCAATCTACCTTTTGTTCTTGAGTTTAGAAAAGAGTTGTCAAGGCTTCCTGATATGGAACGGTTGCTTGCACGCCTCTTTGGTAGCAGGTAAAGATCGATAATTATCAGATTCAATACTCTTTTTCCATTAGAGGTAGTCACCTCTTAAGTATGTTTCTCTTTAATTTGCATAAATGCAGTGAAGCAAATGGAAGAAATGCAAATAAAGTGATTTTATACGAGGATGCAGCAAAGAAACAACTGCAAGAGTTTGTGTCTGCTTTACGTGGATGTGAATCAATGGTGCATGCATGCTCTTCACTTGGGGTGATCTTGGAAAACACAGACTCAAAGCTACTATGTCATCTATTAACACCAGGTATATAAATTGTATTGTTCAATCATGCTGTATGTTCTGGTGGCATCTGATTGATTAATTGGATTTATAGGTAAAGGTCTTCCAGATGTAGATTCAATTCTCAAGCATTTCAAGGATGCTTTTGATTGGGTAGAAGCAAATAACTCGGGCCGAATTATACCTCATGAGGGGGTTGATGAGGAGTATGATGCTGCATGTAAACAAGTGCAGGAGATTGAACTTAAATTATCCAAGCACTTGAAGGAACAGAGGAAACTGCTTGGAGACTCATCAGTAAGAACATAGATTTAATGTGCAATAGGAGGTTATTCAGAACCAAATCTTATATTTGTGAACTTTGCAGATAGATTACGTGACTGTAGGAAAAGATGCATACCTTTTGGAAGTACCAGAATGTTTGTGCAGGAGCATTCCGAAGGAGTATGAATTACAGTCATCGAAAAAGGTTAGTTGGCATACTTCTACATTTTCAGTGCTAAACATACCAAGGGTTGTAAATTGTGTTCATGAGATTTCTTGCTACGTGAAGTCAAAGTTTACCTATTGCTAATGAGATGCTTGAGTCAACCTAGATGATTGTTTCAAAACCGTTATTTAGAAGATTGCTACTTTTAATCAAACTGTTTAACACATGTTTCATTATTCTATTGAGCTGTGCATGCATGCAGTTGATGCTGCAGCTTAACAACAGCTAATTGCAGTGTTTCTAGTTTGTTATGAGTTTTATTGCCCTCATTGCAAACTCAGACAATCTTTGACAGATTCTCTCCCTTCCTTTTATGTGGTTATCTGTATTGGGTTGGATGAGGAGCATGAAGATTCATTTAATCTTTTTAAAGCTGTGGCGATTCTAGAAACAAAGGAACGATACTAGGAAATTTACCATGTGGTATATTGGAATTCGTACTAGATTTAAACAAGTATATCATCACCCAGTAACTGTAGTTTAATTACCTGGTTTGTTGGTTAATAGTAGCTGTGCACCTGCTTTGTATTTAGAAGAACTGGCTGTTAATCGGTCGTAGAAGCAATAATTCCAGCCACGTGCCACTACTGATCTTCTACTTTCCCCTATAAAATATCTGGCATGCAGGGTTATTTCAGGTACTGGAATCCAGTCTTAAAGAAATTAATCGGAGAGCTCTCACAAGCTGATTCAGAGAAGGAATCTAAGCTAAAAAGCATTTTGCAGAGGTTGATAGGACGGTTCTGTGAACATCATAATAAGTGGAGAGAATTAGTTAGTATCACTGCAGGTATTGTTGACCCTTAATTTGGACATGGAATCAGATATTGCTCTAAGTCTCTCTTTCCCCCTCTATTCATTTTGGAGCAGTAATATCATTAGTGCTCTATGGTGAATCTAGTCAAGTCTTCTGGGGAAAAAAATCATACTTGTGGTGGAAAAATAATAGATTACTTCCAGGTTCTCCGTTTTCTTTGCATGCTTTTGGGCAGCGACATGATGTTCCATGGAAGTTACTTGTGCTCCTTTTCATGCATACTTGATTGTATTCTTTCGTTAAGAAAATTTGGAGCTGGAAAACTTATTTATCATTCTTTTGTCCGCTCTGTCCTCCTGGTGACAGCTTATTCAGTCTGCCCACTCAAAAAAAAATGCTCTGCCCCAGCTGAACAGTGGATTTGGAAACATAAAAATCTCTAATTAAGGCAAAAAGAAGTCTCTCTTTGCTTTTGTCTCTCTCCTCTGTATGCAAAGAAACAAGGGAAGTAAAGGTTGGGGAAATATAAGAAACCATAAATAGTGTATTCTGAAGTAAAAAGCAAGATAAAAAGCTGGTGATTCTTTTTTGATAAGGGAAGAAAAATAGATTACTCTTTTCTTAATTTCATAAGATTCTTTTAAGCAACAGTTAACGCAAGGGCGTCGACATTCCAGAAAAGTGGAAAGGTCTCTGTGATTTTAACAAACTAGGAGGGAGGTTCCCTAATTTGTAACAACTTTTTCCAAGTTAAAAAATATCTTGGTTATTATCCTCATTTGAATTCAAATTAGAGGAAAATTGGGAGGTTAGTCACTATGTCCAAACTCCAAACCAAGTCCTGGTAAATAGCACTGTGTTGAACATAACTAATAACCTCTTGCTTTAGAAAGAGCTTTTTGCTCGTGAAGTTTAAATCTATACTTGGTAGAACTTTGATTCAAGAGCATCTGCTATATTATCAGGTATTTAAACAAAAGAAGCTTAATGATACACAATTAGGATCTTTAATACAAGAAATGTGGCTGTTATCTCTTGCAGAATTGGATGTTTTAATCAGTTTATCAATTGCGAGTGATTACTATGAGGGACCAACATGTCGTCCAAACATCAAGTCAGTGCCAAGTGAAGATGATGTGCCAGTTCTTCATGCTGAAAATTTAGGACATCCTGTTCTTAAAAGTGATTCTCTAGATAAGGGAACCTTTGTTTCCAACAATGTTTCCCTTGGCGGTCCTCCAAATGCAAGCTTTATCCTTCTTACTGGTCCTAACATGGGAGGGAAATCCACTCTTTTGCGCCAAGTTTGCATGGCTGTAATTTTGGCCCAGGTGAGTTACATCCAGTAGAAAATTAGTGTTTCCTCATCAATCGATGGCTAAAAGATTTTGATGCTTTTTAGATAGGAGCTGATGTACCAGCATCATCCTTTGACTTATCACCCGTTGATCGTATATTTGTAAGAATGGGGGCCAAAGATCATATTATGGCAGGCCAGAGTACATTCTTGACAGAACTCTTGGAAACTGCTTCAATGCTGGTGAGATTTTATTGTTTCTAAAGGCTGTTATCAATTTATTGCTTGACTACCATCTGATTTTGTTAGATATATACCATCTGGCTGAGAGTGGGAGGGATAGAGAATTATGTAAACAAATACATGCTAATATATTGTACCTGCTTAGACATAGTCATTATTAAGAGCAAAATGGGGTTGATATTAATTTCAACTAAAAGGCTGTTATCAATTCATTGCTTGACTACCATTCAGTTGTTTTAGATATAATACTATTTAATTGAGAGTGAAGGGGAGAGAATTATGTAAACAAATAAATAAATAAATAAATAAATAAATAATTGACTTGTATTATGGTGTCTGCTAAGATGGCCTTAGACATGGTCATTATTAAGAGCTAAATTGGGAGATCATTATTGGGTTATTGATATTAATTTCGCACTCGTCTCTATTTAGTAATCTGAACATTTGTTTGTTTGGACTAATTATCAATGATTGTAGTCTTTGGCGAGCCGTAATTCACTCGTCGCACTCGATGAACTTGGTCGCGGTACATCAACTTCCGATGGACAAGCAATAGCGTATGTGCCAATTATACAAAAAACATTATTGATTATTTGTTACATTGTAGATTTTATTTTCTTTCCCTTATTTGCTCAAACATTTTCACTAAAGATCATTATGTTATGTTTCTGGTTCTGTTGGCAGTGAATCAGTTCTCGAACACTTTGTCCACAAGGTGCAATGCCGAGGAATGTTTTCTACCCACTATCATCGATTATCTATTGACTATCAGAAAGATTCCAGAGTACTGTCTTCCAATCTTTCACTTCCCTTTTAATTGTCGTATTTTATATGCATTGCTTTAAAGATCAAGCATTTGGCCTGAACATTTTGATGCAATAGCTAGCAGAATAATAAAATCAGACAGTTAATAAGCGGATGCCTTTTGGTTGATACTCATTAGCTTGTTTTGATTTTGACTATTAACCTGTTAAAATCAGATGCTCAGTAGATCACATGGAATTTTATGTTTTGGTTGTGCAGGTGTCACTGTGCCATATGGCATGCCAAGTTGGGAAAGGGTCCGGAGGTCTTGCGGACGTTACTTTCCTATACAGGTTGACACCAGGTGCATGTCCTAAAAGTTATGGTGTCAATGTGGCACGGCTGGCTGGTATGTCGTATAAGTTTTTCTACTGCACCATGAACTCTTGCTTTATGTATCTTTTCCGTTCCACCTCATAAAGGTTTAGGGGACTCGATATCTCTTTTTTCATCCAATGAGAACATTTCGGGTTGGTTTGCAACCTTAGTTTGTGAACTTAGGCCTCGATTTTATTTTCACTTTTAGCTTGTTGAACCACACTCTTTAATCTCAGAACTCTCTTTTCAGGACTTCCTGATGGTGTGCTTCAGAGAGCTGCTGCTAAATCTGAAGAGTTTGAAATTAATGGCCACAATAAGCAATTTGAAGAGAACTCGTATGGGAATTTGACAAGAAAGGCAGCAGCACTTGTGCAGAATTTGATGAATTTCGTTATTACTGAGAAATGTGAAGACAATGAAGGTGTGGTTCTTTCTGAGTTGAATGGATTGCAAAGGAGAGCAAGAATACTCCTTGAACAAAATTGAAAAAGAAATCTTAATGTACAGCTTCTAATCCTGTATGGGCATTCTTATTCCCTAGTGTTCTGGACCACTCTATTGCAACTATTTTCCGTTGCCAATTTTGTATAGAAACATGCTATGGCAATGTTTCCTCCTTGATTAAGGTTGCTATTAGAGTTTTACAAAAGAAAAGATGTTACTAAGCCAGTTTTTTTCTCTATACTATGCCAAATTTTTCCCACATGGATATTTAGGTAGCAGACTTCACATGGTCAAAGGCAGTAGTTGGCATAGGGGTGTGGAGGGGAAAGGTTGTCTCCATCCAGTTTGTAATTTCCTATAGTGAAACATCAAAACAACCTAGTTTGTTGGCAATATCTAACCGTTTTAACAAGGTTGGTTTCTCTTCCGTTTGACTTGGATCGCAAGAGGAGTTTGGCTAACGTCGTTGGCCTAGCTAAATATATAAGTATTTCCATTTAGCATTTGTCTGTGTGCAAGCTAATAGCGTAAGTTGTAGTAGTTATTCATAAGAAGCAATGGAATTGTATCAATAATCAATCTAACTGCCAAGGAATCTATTGTGAAACTTTCATTGCTCTCCACGTGTATGGGAAAAACCAATTAGATAAAGCATCAGGGTGATGCTTAGAAAATACAAATTACACTGTTAATGAAAAGAATAAACAATTAGGGAGGACTCTCGTATTAGTTGTGTTAGTCAGAGTTGGATAACCTGTCTTCTGTATCCTGAATAAAGAAACAAACAAAATATTTAGATTGTATTTATGGAGCTAACGAACATGTTAGAAAATGATTGGACTTGAAATTGGATTGAGTTGACTAAAAATAAAGAAATGAGATTACCAGATACTGCTGTCTAATGATAATCTGAATTCTTGTGATCAACAGGACTATAATGTACATAGGCAAGAGTATTCCAGTGGATTTTATAATAAGCAGCTGCAAGTAAAATGACAAATAAGGTTGGTAAGAACTATTTATTAGTTGTTAAGACAGTTAAATTGGTACCAAATTATCTTTTTATTATATACATCACAATCAGATAAGTTGGTACACTTACTGTAGGAAGTGTAAAGGGATAGTTTCTTGGTCCTCCATTGAGCACCTCTAACAAATGTCTCATCATAAGCAGAATTGTGAACTGCAAAATTAAATTAATACCACAATGTTAAAGCAAAAATGAAAAATCTATGGATATTAATAAATACCATATTAATAATCAATTAATGAGATAATGAAGTTAATTAATGTCCACGCAGGATCACGAACTAGTGCATAATGCTTCGGTTCATGTCTTTGGGAGCAAATCACAAGAAGAAAGTTAATTAATAGTAACTTAAATGTTGGTTTCCATAATAAAATATGAAGCAGCATTGAAGCACATGTGTTTTTGGGCTGTTAACTATGTTTGGTTATTACGTTTCCAAAGAGACAATTTAAATGGTTAAGATGTCACAATTCAAATAGTCAGTATAATTACAAGTTTTAATTTCTCATCTTGACCATTAATTATTGTTGAGTTGGACGTTCTCTATTTCGTTGTTAACTACTTATATAAAAGGCAAAAACAATTACACAAAACTCAAGCATTGTTGATTAAAAAAGGAAAAAAAATTCAAGTGCTTACAATGAGAGCAACAGTTCGACAACAAGAGGCACTTCTATCTGCTGCTTGTGAGCATTCAGAATATTGACTCCTCGCCAGCATTTGTCTTTCTTCTTCTGAATCTGACTCCAAAACAACCACTCTTTCCCTTCCATTTTCTATATCTGCTTCTGCACTTCCTCTTAAGTACATGCAAACAATGTTCGTATAGTTTAAGTTCTATGTACCGATAACATAAAATATTTACACAATTAGGCCTAATCTTACATGCTATTACAAGTAAAACTATATTAATAGCATAAAAAGTATATTATTTAAATAGTCAGAGCAAATAACTTAATTAGATCCATTAACTAACAAGTGCGTTAGTAATGGTAATTAAATATTGCCCCTCATGGCGAAACTGCTTATTAATTTGTTATATCCAGTGTCGGAGTTACTAATATTTATTAGACATCCCTGGCAGTTTCTTTAGGAATGTATTAACTATCTATCAAGTACAATGAAGGAGACAATAGCAATATTAAATTAAATATACAATAAAGGCTAGTCTAAAATTATAGCGTGCCAACTATTCTTCTTTCTTTCTTTCTTTCTTTTGTAAACATAAATTTAATTCCAGGAGGAAAATTGGTCGAATATATACCTAATTGTCCCAGCTGTATTATCAACTGAGTGGACTTTCTTAGGAGGTGGAGCCGTGTATCCAGGTTCAAATTTCTGCAACGTTAAAAATGTCATCAACTTTATAGATTATTCGGATACAGAGTACATAAAAGAAACTTTTAATTTGGTCAGCAACTCTAAAAGAAGAAGATATCTAAAAATGGACGTCACTTATATATTACAATCTTACTGTCTTATTTTTTTCGAGGTAATTAGTTTGACTTATTATTGAAAAAAGTTTATAATTATCCAAGGTGAAAAAATCATTGTATATTATCACTCTATAAAAGTTAACCTCTTTAAAATTAATAGATGAACAATCCAAATAGTTAAAACAAATGGAAAAAAGAGATAGTAACAGAAAATTGCGTAGCTTAAACTGAACGTCAAAGTATAAGCAACCAGTCAAGAAGTAGATAAGCATAGACGATGGTGACATTTTCATTCTTTATATTTATCGAAAGAAAGCGTGTTCTGATTTCTGTCATATGTTAATTATATTTTATCTCTGCCCTTTATTTCCCAAAAATATGTGCTTCCTCCATGTCCTATTTTACGTAAAACTTAATACTAGTATTATTTAGAGGGTCAAATTTAATTGCGATTTTTCCAAATTTGCTTTAAATATTTTGGATTAATACTTACGAACGTATACTACTTCCCACATGATTTTATTAAATGTTATTTTTATTTTGAAAATTTTTATGTATTTTTGTCTGAATTGAACACCAATGTAAATGTTTTGACCTCATACAAAAACACTTAACATTTCAGTAGAAGAAAAAACAGAGGAAGCAAATTTTTGTCTTAAACCTGAAAAAATAGTTTTAGATGACAAGAACAGAATATGTGTTCTGTACGGAAATATAAATTTCCCCACAAAACAAAAAGAGAACCCAACAAGAGTCACTTATGTTAATTTCATTTCTTGGAATTGGAATTATCAAAAAAGAAGAATCGAAATTCGAACCTGTAAACAAATTTCGCAGATTATATTTCCCTTTTCATTGCACCATCTTTGAATACAATCCCTGTGCGCAAACTGAAAAAAACAAAAAGTCCAAATTCAATATGTGATCACCAAAAGATTTTAAAAAAAAAAAATTAAAAATAAGAGGATCAAACCAGCTCAATTAGAAATTTAGTTACCAAAAGAAAATTTAAATGATAAAAATTAATAATCAGTAATTACCTTGACAGTTCCAGAACATGCACAAGGAGCTTCCAAATTTTTACAGCTTTCAAATTCTTCTTCGTGGCAAATTCTACATAAATATGTTGAAGCAGAGATGAATTTATAATCATCTACATATATTATCACTTCTCCCATCTGGTTTTTGCTTTTCATAATCTGTTGAATTAATTACTCTGCAACTTTCTTCTTCTTCTTTTATTCTTTGATATTTTTGTTCTTTCCTTCTTTCTCTGTTTTCTTGGAGTCTCAGAGAGTATAAATATACCAAGAAGATAGAGGGTGAAATTCCAAGATTGCCCTTATTCAGAATTTTCAAATGAATCTACCACATAGGTACAAGTTGTACATAATCAATACGCGCTTAAAGAATTTAAATTAAATCTTTAAGGATCTTCGAAAATAAAAGAAAATTATATACAAAGCTAACCATCTTTTTCCATTTTCCACCTCTATGATTAAGCAATTATCCAAAACTATACAACATGCATGCAGACTCTTAGTATATTTTATTTTTGCCTATTATGCTCCAAATATAACTATTTGGGTGGTTCAGCTATAAATTATACACATAGTATTATTTAACTCTCAAATAATGTTAAGGGATAGCAATAATTTTGTTCTTTTAATGTTTATGAATTTATTTAATTTCTTGTTAGGGCATAATTCGAGATGCCTGAACTTAGCTTTCATTTTAGTGCATAGACAAACATGCAAGGTTAGTAGTAAATGCAACATTATACTGACGTTTAATTAAATTATATATAT